CACAACATTCTAATTTATTGAGATGCACCTGTATATACACACACAGTAGTCAACATTTGAAGTGGATCAAAAAAGGTGATCAAAGTTGTCCTAAGACAAGAACGCATTTAGGTTTTAGGACAACTTTAATGAAAGGTTTTGATCCACTTCAAATGTTGACTAATGTATATATTTACAAATTACAATTCCAAAACAATACAAAAACGCATATCTCCCCAATTAACTAAATAACAAACAACATAAAAACAAAAAGAGCAACTTTGTATAGACAGCTGCTGTCTTATAAATACACACCATTAGTTCTACTGTAAGGATACTCTAGTTTGCAGTATTTTGTTTGTGTAACTCAAACATCAGTCCTCTTCTTTAATCTTCTGTGAATCTGTATTTTCGTACAGGGGAATGGTGATGAAGACTCGTCCCCTGGTCAGACTGATGCTCTAATGCAGATGACTCCTAATGGGACATCCCATAATAACACTGAGGATGCCAATGAGACACCACAGTAACATTACTACTTTATTTTTTTGAAGGGAAAATTAAGACAAAATGGGAAATGAGAAGATTATCAGTTAAAAAAATCACATCACTCACAGAGGAATTGTAATGATACCAAGATTTCAGTAGTCAGTACCGATACCAGTGAAGTTTTATCATGATACCAATTTCAACACATCAAAAAATTGCTATAAAACAGTGAGTGATTTCATGTCATTTGCACTGTGAGACCTATTAATGTACTGACCTGTTTGACATATCAGTAATGTTTGTGTATATCTTTCTAAAGCACAAATACCTCACCTGTTTAACTGCTCTCAAACTGTCGCACAAGTGCTCCACACAGATCACGTGCACAAATACACAATGGATGCTTGAAGCAGCTCTCATTCTAGCACTGAATCACATTTGCACTACTGATACTGTAGGTGCTGTTACTGGTATTGTTGCTGTTACCGGAAAGCCTGGTATCATGTTGCATATGTAACTACCAGACTTTTCAATTGATGTAACCAGCGAACTGCCCTTGGTCAACCAGCTTCATCAGAAAGATCATACGGACGGAGTGCATGTATCTGAATGCTTGTTGTATGTGGTGATATGTGGTGTTATACAAGTAAAAAATACTTTTATGTGGTAGAAATGTTGAAGTAGACATATGTGGACATGCTTGACAAGCATGTTATTATAATCTTCAGATGTGTTACTTATTGTGTTCATTGTTAAATTGTGCAGAAATGTTGTTCTTTGTACTTTGTGTATGAATCACAGTAACATTCAGTCATCTTGTATTTATGAGGATATAATTAATTTCTCTTGTTTTTAAGTTCTTTTATTTGTTGTCATTTCATGCGAGGAGACAGACGAAGACCCTTAAGCCATTAAAGGTGAACATTTATCATTCACAATGTTTAACTGTGCTGCATTTGTCCAGTTTGACTTAATATCATGCAATTATTGTGTTTTCTTGATGTCTTTGTATTGTAGAACATCACTGTGTGACTGAGATGATCACCTTCATTTGAATTTTCTGTGATGCCAGTCCTGGATAGCTGCAGGTAGATTTTACCAGTATGTTTGATACTAGTTTTAAAGTGCTATCTGTTCGTCTTAATTGAAAAATACTTCAAATTGTGCAAATCTCTTTCTTTCTCAGACTTGTCCTGTTTGCTTTGGATTATGAGATCGGTTCCCGTTCAAAAAGCTTACCTCTTTACATCATACATCAGCAGAGCTGAACACTGAACCATGATCTTCACCGTTACAAGAACAATTTGACAGTTGTCGGGTCGTGGAATAACTGAGAAGTGACGTACTGTAATCTGGTGAATGTCCACATTTGTCGATGTCTGTCGGTGAGGAGTGACTGATTCTAAAACAGCAAAAAAAAAAAAACCTGTGCCTTGCACTCTGAGTAAAATATCTGAAGACGTTTTATTTACAAAGCTCTGCTTTATTGAAACCTACTTCAGGTGGGTGCCATTTTATTTCTGTAAATCCTTTTCTCCTGTTTTTGTGTAGTTAGGGAGTTAGTGTACATTTCTGTTGTTCATTTTGTTTTCTTTTGTCAGTTTAGACCGTTTTGGTCCCTAATTAGACAGAGGGTCCTTTTGTTTGTTGTTTTGGCCTTTCCCCCTCCTGAAGTCCATTTTTGCTTCCTAATTTATTACTTTGTCATTTATGCTTTTGTTAATAAAATATTTGGAACTCAAATTGAACGTGTTTGTCTTGCGGAGCAGGGACCTGTACCCTCACCCACCCCAAACAATTTTATTTACAGGGGTGCACCCAAGTTTTTCAGCCTGGTTCTCATTAGAACAAATGTAACTATATAAAAAAAAATATATTATTAATAATAGTGATAATGATATGATTGCATTTTATTTGTCTATTTTTTTTTTATAAAATAATAAACCAACAATGAAGTGTGATAATACTATTATATTTGAAAATAAAAAGGGAGTATTAAATAAAAATAAAAATATTCTATAATTAACTTAAAACTAAATGCTAATATTTACTTTTTTATTTTTTTATATGAATTTTAATAATTTTTAAACTTAAAATCAGCAAGCTTATTTTTAGCGCTGCTGATTAAAGAGTGTCGGTGAATGAAATGTCTTTCAGTTCGAACAGAACAGTATTAGTTTGTCGAATCTAAAATGGTAATTGTGCATTAACAGCTGTCAGCTATGTTGGTACGTAAATGAATGGTCTGAACTTGTCTACACCGCACTTTTTTTTTTTTTTTTTTTTTT